AGTAGATATGAAATAATGAACACCCTACGCCTAAATATAAATAGAAAACAAATAAACTTAAATACGGTTTAAACATTTTCGTTAAGGTAGTTCAACGAATAAAGAAATTAATTATTTAACGAAACGGTTAATTCGAAGAATCGACAAAGTTAGAGTCAAGTTCACTCAATGAATACTAAGTAAAATATCTATTTAATTCTATATTAAATTACCCAAAGAAAGAAAGCGTAAAATTGCTTTTACTTCGAAACAAAACCGTAATTTTAATTACAACAAAATTTATAGAAAGAAAAATTATCAGATATTTCGTAAAAATTAAAAAGTTATTTCTCTAAAATCTAAGACGAAGAAAAAGATTTTGTGTATCAGTGCATTTTACTACTTCTGAGGTTACACCTCATTAATGATTAAATATTTATCATTTAATTTAAATATAATAACAATTTTGGCTAGGTTCCAATCCGCTTCGCTGTCGCTTATACAATTTCGCTGTACTGCAGACCATTTCTTTTCTTTGTAACGCTATTTCAGTTACAGTACTAGGGTTTCAATGGAATAAATTGTATAATGATGTAAGTATTCCCATGGCTTCCACGCCCCTTGCTGATGGTGAATCATAGCTTATATGGGTGATTTTTTAGTTATTAGAAAAGGAATTTAGAATTTTTATGGTTTTACATTCTTTTAATTGAATTTGTTATCGAAGTTAAAAAAATATATACCACTTTTTCTTTCCATTCTCAGTTCATTACAAGCTGCTAAGGGAAAAAAATACTTATAAAGCAAGAGAAGGAAACCTCAAACATTATAATCATTACACTGACAAATTAATGAAAACATTTTGCCATATTCTAACATTATTTTTGTTAAAGCATTCATCATTAGCATATCAGCCGTTAACAGTCTATCACTGAACATAGACCTCCACTATAAGAGAAGTTTTCTAGTAGTTGCCATGTTTAGTAGATGAGTTCACAATCGTAGTTAGCGTTTAGTTATATTTTAAGAGAGACACTGGTGCCCATCCCTCGAGTTCCTTTATTACAAACTATTCTATGCAGGGACCATACGGCCAATTAAATTAATTAAAACATTAGTATTTAATCATTCTCCATTAATACAAGTTAATAATAATAAGTACTAACCTTTTGAAAATCTAGTACGCGTTAAAATTCCAATAATAGGATTATCTTTACGAATGAACGCCCAATTAAATTTGAATCGAATTGAAATTAACGAATACCTATTCATCTATAAAATCAATTAGAAAGTGTATTAATCGAATGACAGCTTTACAGTCAACGTACTATTGATAATCTTGTTGTCTGGACGCTATAGAGGTGAGATAGTCTGTTCGGGCCCAATGTAACATCCTTGGGGTACACCTGGCAATGATCGCGTCCCCGCATCGATTCTAAATATAACCAAACAAAAACACTCATTTGATGTAGACTGGAAACAATTTGAAGCACCATATGATTGTTTTGTTTCTGTTGTTTTATTTTTAGATGCGTTTTAGTTCCAAGACGGTAATAAACTAAATTTAGCTTGCAGTCTATATTACAAGTGCTGCTCTGTAGAAGAAATGTTGTCGTATTAGCTATTAATTGCCCACTGCTGAACAAAGCCTCTCCCATAAAGGGGGTTTAGCCAGTAGTTGCCACGCTTGGCAGGCAGATTGGCAACCGCAGTTAGGCCTTGTAGAAGGAATGTATTACTTGTAAATGACATGTAAATGCAAGTCACATGATTATACATAATAGCCGAATTAACACAGCATAGATTGGACCACAGATTCCTTTCTCATAGATGTAGTCGAGCGTTGAGCAGTAGCGTCCCTCTTAAAACATCACCAAAACCTAGTTGTAATAGTTTCTACATGATTGTGTGATAAACATACAAATAGGCAGACAGACAGACGAACAAACAAAATTTCTGTAAATGTTATATTATTTTGTCATTTATTGGTTTTATTAAAACTGCTCATGTTAATTTTTATATTTACGTTATTTATTTATATTGCGTATACATATAGATGTATATCTACAGACATTATCTAGTTATAATTTTATCATATTAGTAAGATAAGATAAATATTACGTACGGTGTTACGTTCACCACTATTAAATGTCCCTGGACATCCACCCAGGACTTATTTTTTTTATATTTTCTGAACCAAAACTACCTGACAATGAAAATCAATAAATATTTGTTGTATAAAAGAATCGATAACCGATGGGACAAAGTTCTTAAGTGGTGACGCAGTACAGGCAAATGGAGTGTATTGTGACTCCTTACTAGATGGAGCGATGACCTTAAATGGCCTTAAATATAGGCCTTAAACTATATACCTTGTGGTAATCTAAGAGAAAGACCTATATTCAGCATTGGACAATAAATAGCCAATATGATGATGGTAGACGAGAAACGTATTATTTTACGACTAAAAATCTGAATTTTAAGACCTAAGTTTCTCCTCCTACGCATTAACGAAAAGTACTTATATTATTATAAAAAAATTCCCCAAGTAACGTTGTCTAAGATATTTATAGAAGCAAAACAAAGAAAATATATTATCTTCTAAGGCACTAACTTAGTAATAAATATAAATTACACTGTAGGAGGAGAGATTTCTAAGAGATTGTGTTTTTTTTTTTGTTATTATTTGCTTTCAATGATATTTCTGTTTGAAAATAGATACATTTTGTTTAGAGAATAATTAGATGTGCCCTAAAAATTCTGACTTCAATTGCGACCAGTTACTATGATTTAAAAACGAGGTTTTCCCAAGAGACTACAGCATGGGGTTCTTCAAAAGGGGAGTAAAGAGGTTTCTTCAGGGTCGGCGACGCACGCGACATGGTATTGCAGGCGTTCATAGGCTACGGTAACCGCTTACCGCAATAATTAATAACCAATTATTCTCATCAACTAACTAATGATATGGACTTCCTCGAAATAAATCCTAGTTTCATATTTTTTTTTAACAATTTTGGGGTGTAAGACAATTTGGCACTACCTTACTTTGTTAAAAACTAATGGTATACGAAACGGTCTTGTGGGATATTTTTTTTACAACACAGGGAGCAAACGAGCATGTGGCTCACTTGATGGTAAATGACTACCGCCGCCCATGATCGCAACACCTTTGCAGGTGTGCTGCCGGCCTTTTAAAAAGGAATATACTCTTTTCTTGAAGGTTATGTTGTCGTATCGGTTCGGAAATACTGCTGCTGGAAGTTGATTCCAAAGAATGGTTGTGCGTGGAAGAAAGTGCCTTGAATAACGCACGGTGGAAGACCGCCACTCGTCCAGATGATTGGGATGAAACTTTAGTTTGTGGTGGGTTGTACGGTGGTGAAAATCAGCAGCAGGTATCAATCCGAAAAGTTCCTCAGAACACTAAATTTCTAAAAATCTCTAGTTGTTCATTAAATTTTGATATTGACTGTACATAATCATTGACTAATCTTCGTTTAATTCCGCGCTATGAGAATAAATCGCTGGCATTTTATTATTAAGTATTTCTAATGCAGGATATAGACTTCCTTTACACGTTAGCGGTAACGGTGTTGTCTAGTGGATAGTGTAATATTGCCGAGGTTTTTATGCGGTCCTGGTACATGCTGAGACAAGATGTATGCGATAATTGGTAATGCAAATATAGGATTTATGTTGGTAATCATAAAGTCTAAGTTGTTCTCTTCGTTTATATGTCGATCTAACCACAGATATAAATAGCGATAGATGGTGTAAGTGCCTCAAATTATATGAAAAGCACTTTGATGTTATAAAAGTTATTGATAGTAAATCTCCTTTCATACTAAACGCTTCTGAATATACCATTTGGAATTCTCAATTCTCAAGATTTATAAAATAAATTTTATGTAGTAAAACCTATTCGAAATTTAGCCGCAGTAAGATTTTTTATTTTATTTTTTTATTTATATTTTATTTTATACAAAAATCCACAACTCTTAAAAACAACTTACATGCTAAGTCTCTTATGAATACAGCCAATAATGGATTTTATTTATACAAACAAAAATTATAATTTCAGAGCGAGGTAGGCGAGAGTGGGTGTATGCAAGTAATATAAGTACATGTATGAAAGATTTTGTATTTAATTTAGATTTATAATGTCTATATTCTATTTATCATTTATCAATGTTAAATATAATTAAATTTCTCGATTACAAGAAATGAAAATTAACGCATTCATTTAAATAAACTAAAATAATTAATTTGAATTACCTTTTTTATTGTTTGCAGATACACTCAGTATAAAGAAACAATTTATGTGATGTGAAATAAAGAGTGAGTAGAAGAAAAAACTTTACAAACGAAGGCATGACAGCGCTACATCAGTCTGCTCGTGACCACGGCCGGTATAACATAGTCGATACGTCGAGATAACCCATGTAAATTATTATCGTCATCATATTAGCCCTTAACAGTCTACTGCTGAACATAAGCTTCCATCTTGGGGGATTTTGCCAGTAGTTGCCATGTTTGGCAGGCGGATTGACAACCGCAGTTAGGCGGGAAGGATTGTTAGTAATGTGGATTGTCAGTCCCATTGCTAACAATATACCCTAACGGGCCGACCTCCCCGTGGTCCCCCCTGGAAACCATTGTAATGAATTCCAAGTGTATTCATCACAATGGGCTAACTGACCTGCCTTTTCATTCTCACCTATTATCCTTCACTAGTGACCCGCCAGCATATATCGTCAGTGCAGGCGAGTAGTTAGGCGTTACTATTCCATTATCATGCATTAAAAAAAAACCGCAGTTACGCTTTAGATATATTTTAAGAGGGAGGCCGCTGCCTATATCTCGCTCTCCCTTAGATACCTCTTACGACACCCATGGGAAAGGAAGGGGTGACCATTTCTATGTCGGAACTACACGGCCATGGTTTACTTAAATGATTGCGTTACTTCCCGTCTCTTATAAACGATAAACCAGGCAACGCGAAATTTTAAAAGTTAACTCACCTCTAGGTCCTGAGCTAACTTGACACTGATATAATGCGTCGTCTTCCAAAGCCACTTCTCTTATGTCCAAGGAATAGTCCCCTGCAATGATATTCAAAAATATTATTTCTAGTTTTTAAATTATGTCTACTTGGTTATTTCTGACCTATTCGTGTACCAGTCATGAAGCTATGTTGCAAGGCTGTATATTTAAAAAAAAATTATAATTTTAAGATATGGCAATGATTTGATGGTGTAATAATTCTCAGGGATAGCAATGTAAGAATAATGGAAGTCATAGTATATTACACAATCGAATCATCATCGTCATCATAATATCAGCTGTGAACTGTCCAGTGCCGAACATAGGCTTCTCCTATAAACTGCCATAAGTACCAGAGGGAGACTTTATACAAAAGTCATTTTGCTTGAGTACATCTGTCCTATTCTTGTTTCTACCGTGAAGCAGTTGTGTTTGCATGGCTGGCATGTTCGGTTTGAAGGGTGGGATATGACGTGAATTTACAGGGTACAGAGGAATAACACCTGAGTCCTCAGGAATGGCAACGCATGGGAGGTATCATGGGCGAAACAGTATACTCTGTTATGTCCATGGTACTGCTCATGTGTCATGGCACGGTTACCACTTTCCATCAGGTGGGCCGTCAGCTTGTTTTCCATTTTAAGTTGTATAAAAAAAACGTAACGATCCCGAGCCACCTGCATCCACTGATCCTCTACAATCCATTTGAGGTCGTCACTCCATCTATTGAGGAGTCGTCCTATACTGCATTTATGGGGTCGTCACTTAAGAACTTTTCAGTCCCATAGATTGTCGGTTCTTCGAGCTATGTGACCAGCCCACTATCTCTTCAGTTTGCGTATCCTTCGAGCTATGTCTGTCAATTTAGTTCTTCTGTGAATATCCACATTTCGTATTCTATCATGCAAAGAAACACCGAACATAGTCCTCTCCAAAGGGAGGAAAGGAATGGAGTTTGACAGCCCCATTGCTAAAATATGCCTTATTAGGTCGACCTTCACGTGGTTCCCCTGGAAACCATCGTGAACAATTCTTGTTAAATTCGTCATGATGGGCTAACTGACCTACTTTTTTTTTTTTTTTTTTTTTTTTTTACAACACAGGGGGCAAACGAGCATGCGGCTCACCTGATGGTAAGTGACTACCGCCGCCCATGATCACCCACAACACCAGCGGCATTGCAGGTGTGCTGCCGGCCTTTTAAAAAGGAATATACTCTTTTCTTGAAGGTTATGTTGTCGTATCGGTTCGGAAATACTGCTGCTGGAAGTTGATTCCAAAGAATGGTTGTGCGTGGAAGAAAGTGCCTTGAAAAACGCACGGTGGAAGACCGCCACTCGTCCAGATGATTGGGATGAAACTTTAGTTTGTGGCGGGTTGTACGGTGGTGAAAATCAGCAGCAGGTATCAATCCGAACAATTCCTCAGAACACTCCCCATGATAAATTCGGTAGAAGATGCACAGAGACGCAACATCTCTGCGCAGTTTCAATGGGTCAAGTCGGACAGTAAGGCGTTGACTATCGATAATTCGAGCCGCCCGACTTTGAATGCGGTCTAACGGAAGGAGTTGGTACTGTGGCGCTCCTGCCCACAGGTGAGAACAGTATTCCATATGCGGCCTGACTTGGGCTTTATATAATTTCAGGCGGTGTTCTGGCATGAAATATCGTCTCACCCTATTGAGCACTCCTAACTTTTTGGAAGCTATCTTAGCCTTCTCCTCCAGATGACCGCAAAACTGGACGTCGCAAGATATATCAACGCCCAGAATTCCTAGACTTGACTTTTTATCAAGGGAAGTGCCCTGAAAGTGAGGAGATACGACAAACGGCGTCTTTTTTGCGGTAAACGCGCAGACTTGTGTCTTTTTAGGGTTAAATTGGACAAGATTTTGTTCACCCCAGATCGAAACTTGATGGAGTGAAGTTTCGATTTCAGACACAAGTCTATTCCGGCACTCATCGGTATGTGCCCGCGAGATCTTTGCATGACCGGTATATAATGTATCTCCTGTACTGTCGTCCGCATAGCAATGAATATTACTTATCTGTAACATATCATTGATATGCAGAAGAAACAGAGTCGGAGATAGTACACAGCCTTGCGGGACACCAGCATTCAAAGGTTTTAAATCAGAGCATGCACCGTCGACTACGACCTTAATGCTACGTTCCTTGAGAAAACTGGCGACCCAAATGCACAGTCTCGCAGGCAACCCAAATGAAGGTAGCTTTGAAAGCAGCGCTCTATGCCACACCCGATCAAAGGCCTTCGCAATATCCAGACTAACTGCTAAGGCCTCTCCCTTACTCTCGATTGCCACTGCCCATCGGTGTGTTAAGTAAGCTAAAAGATCACCGGCCGAACGTCCCTGTCGAAAGCCATACTGGCGATCACAGATCAGCCGGTGCTCTTCTAGGTACCGGAGCAGTTGACGGTTAATGATGGATTCCATAACCTTCGAGAATAAGGAAGTGATAGCTATGGGCCTATAGTTAGCTGGATCTGAGCGATCTCCCTTTTTAGGGATCGGATGCACCAGAGCAGTCTTCCAAAACTTTGGGACTATGCCCGATGAGTAGCTAAGCCGAAAAAGACGCGTAAGAACCGGAGCCAACTCTGGTGCGCACGTCCTAAGCACAATTGGAGGAATACCATCAGGCCCACTCGACTTATGGATTTCGAGGGAGAAAAGTGCTCTACGCACTGAGCTATGCGTGAATTTAATGTCAGGCATAGAGCTCCTACAACACGTGATGGTCGGTGGTAGTTTCTCCCCGTCATCCAATGTCGAGTTTGACGCAAAGATGGATCCAAGAAGATCGGCCTTTTCTTTAGCGTTCTGGGCCAACGAGTCATCCTCCCTGCGCAAAGGTGGAAAAGATGACTTACAGAAATTCCCTTGTGCAGCTTTGGCAAGAGACCAGAAAGCTCGAGTCCCAGAGGGCAAACTAGCCAGTCTCTTGCCAATTCTACTAATATGCTCTGACTTCGCTGTGGCTATAACTCTTTTGAAAGACCTAGAGGCAGAGTTATACTTCTTTTTAAGAGCACTGGTGTTAGGATCTCGCGACGCCACACCTTTAGCCCAGGTTAGGAAGCACTCCTGTTTCAGACGAGATGCTGTTCTACAGGAGGCTCCATACCAGGGCTGGGATTTCCCGCCGACGGGCACCACAGAGTTAGGAATAAATAATTCCATTCCCTGAAGCACCACATCAGCAATGGAATCGGCAATGGCGTCGGGATCATCCAGTGTGAAGCAAACCTGCCTCCATGGGTAAGATGCGAAAAAAATCCGCATCTCATCCCAATCTGCCGACCTGTAGTGCCAAATGCGACGTCTACCCGTAGAACGAGGTGGAGTCGGACTCGTAAGAGGCACTTCGCTCCGCACCAAACAGTGATCCGACGATCCAAGCGGGGCTTCGACGGAGATCACATAGTTGTCTGGGTGGGTGGTCAGCAGAAGGTCCAGCAGTGAAGGTGAATGGTCCAACACATCAGGGATTCGCGTAGGCGAGGAAACAAGCTGTGTCAGACCATAAGCCAAAGCAAAGTCATGAACAGATCTTCCCGCATAGTCGGTTGTACGCGAACCAAGCCATTCGGCATGGTGGGCATTAAAGTCGCCAACAATCACGACTTCAGCGGAAGGAATCTGCTCAAGCAGGGAATCTGTAGCCATTTGGACGTGCTCAATTAGTTGGTCGGTTTCAGTGTTACCGCTGTGGGACCTGTATAGGCACGCATAGATGCGGGGATGGTCATTGCAATCTACGCGCAGCCATAGAATGGACAGGTCCGTACCTTCAAGAGTCCCAAGGCGTCGACAGCAGATATCCTCTCTGACATACGCACATACACCGGCACGCGAAACAAAACAATGTTCAAGCTTATACCCCGGGTAGGTCAGGTATGATGTTTCGTTAGGAGGGGATATCTGTGTCTCCGTGAGGAAGAGCAATGCCGGCCGCGCCGTTTCTAGGTGGTGGTGGACAGCGTTCAGGTTTGAATGAATTCCCCTAATATTACAGAGGCTCACATTGAGCAAAGGGGATGCCGCAGAAGTCTTGCTCTGTTTGCCCTTGGTCCCATAGAGCGGAATTTTGCCCCCCAGAATACGCAGGGCAGCCCGAGCGTGGTTGCTCGAGGGAGGATTCTCCAGCAACATGGCTGCTGGTACCTCCCTGGGGTACGTTATTTTTTTTAAATTCCACTGCCATGGTATTGAAAGATGGGGGGACGGAGTTGGGGGAGGATTTTAGGATAAGGAAGGGGATGGGTATAGGATGGGCCTCCGGACTCCCTCACTCACCATACGGAATGTGGTCGCACTAAAAGTGCGGCCACTTAGCGTCGGTATTCTGTGAGGGTGTGGTACTTCCCCGGTCGAGCCGGCCCATTCATGCTGCAATACCATATGGTATTACAGCGTGGCTCTACCACCTATCTTCATCCTCACCTATCATCCTTCACTGGTGCCCCACCGGTGTATACCGATAGCGCGAGTGGGGTTACCATTCCATTATCATCCATTAAAAAAAAGAAGTCCTCTCCAAAGGCCGCTAAGTAATATGAAGCTTTTGTATGCGACCATCTGTGTAAAACATAATCGAGTTTTTAGGAGTTTCCGCTTGTCGGTGCAACTAATTCATGCATCTTCTTCCAGCCAGCTCTATCCCAGGCCATATCCTCGATCTCCCTCTACGACATGACACCTAGTGTTTCCTTTATCTGTCCCATGTAGTTATTCCTCGGTCTTTCTCTTCCTCTTTTGCCCTCTATTTTACCTTCTACTATGCTCTTAAAAAAATCGTCATGTCGTATATAGGTGGCCCAGCATTTTGCCTCTTCTATTCTCTATTATTTTAATTGACTTAAGTTACAAAAACAAAAATACGATAGAAAGTTTAACAATGAAAGTGTGTACTTTTTTACTTTTATTTCGATTTCTGATTCTATTTACCTTCTTCATCACTACCAATCATCTTGTATCGGTCATAGCCAGTCAAATATCTATGCGTGCCGAGGCCAAAGTCGTCCTTCGTCCACTGTAGCTGACCAGCCTTACTGACAACTCTGCAGGGCAGGATTACTCTGGAGCCTACTACGGCACTCTGGAAAAAAAATCACTATTATCCTACTTATATTATAATTATGATTTTTTTTTTATATTTTTGGGTATTTATGTCTTTATATGTTTTTTAATCAATCACGTTAAAATGGCTTTTAATGAAATTTAGGACAAGGAGTAGGATATTTTATATACTAGTAGCCGTATGGTCTGAGCATAGAATGAACCACCCCTTCTTTTCCCGAGAATTTAATGTAATGGTCGAGGAATGGGCAGCGTCCCTCTTAAAACATTACCAATTATTAGGGATTAATTACCCTTTATCTGTTAATCCAAAATCTTCAAAATACACGTAGACTCAATTAACCAAAATAAATAAGTTAACATTTTGTGTTTAATAATATTAAAACTTAAGGTTTTTTTTTAGATAAAGTATCTAAAAAGAGCTTATTTACTTTTCACCAATATCTAAAACAGTTCGAAATATATTAGAAAAAATGGGTTTGTGGGACCCAATAGAAACTAATACACAAAATCGAAACGCGACTTCTGAAGCATAAAATAGAATAGAATTTGAAACTGACAGTCTATCCAATTCTATTTAACATGAAAGAATCCACAAATAACACATGTGAACAAAATAAGGACACAAGGACATATGTACAAGAAAATTGCACATGTCTAGAGAGTTACGTAAGTGGGATCCACATTAAGAATAACGTTTTGTCATCTACAACCGTGCCTGTTTGGTTTTGTTTACACTGTACAAGTAACGTTCCAGTTCAAGTATTTAGTCCAGTCATGTTCTTTGTTTTTTTTTAAGTCTATGATGTGACGAAAAAATTATTACTAATAATACGCTATCTCATCTGTGTGTAAAATATACACGTAATTTGGGGGATTTTTGAAGTCAGTGTGTGGCACCACAATCTTCTAAAAACAGACAATTTGCTCACAAAAATCCAATTGAATTATGAACACAAATATTCTACTAAAGGATAAAATTATTTATGAATACCCTTCTTTATTAATATTTCTTTAGTAAGCGAAATTGAGTACTTGAAAGTAGTTTTTTTCCACAAAAAAGCTTCAAACGTCATAAAATTGGACCAATAGAACCAGTAAATACTATTAACTTAAAAAAATTATTACAAAATTCCATTCAAAATTAGCAACGTAATCTGCGACAAAATAACTTCAAACGAGCTTTCTGTTTTTAAAAATCACTTAAAAATTAAATGTCATTCTTTCCTAAAATTATTTGTATGGATTACTTTTTATTTTAATTTACAAAAACATAATATACAGATTAATTATATTATGTATATCTATAACGTCTTTTACCCACTACTTTGTACCAGTGTATTCCAGAAGAAAGGAAACTATTGAAATAGACGACTTTTAGAATACTTATCAAAGTAAATCATACCAGTTTTTAATTTAGATCTTCAGAATTGTAACTACAGAAACCGCACTCAATTTGATGCTGTAGTTTTTACATGATGCCGGAACAAATATACAGATAGACAGTTAGATAAACAGACAAAATATCTTTATATCTTTATTATTATTATTTGGCATATAATTTATCTTAAATTATTATTATTAAAGTAAAGTAAATTATTTAAATTAGAGTCAATAAATAAAATGTAGTTTCGATTCTGACTTATTTACTGCATAAATAGCTATTTATCTACTGAAACCAGTTATAGTCTGTTCCTGTGAGAATTTCTAGAATTTTTTTTAGATGTTTAAGTTAAAAGAAGAACTTAGTATTCATAATTTCAACCAGAGCGGTTTAGACACTGCTTTAATTATGTATTAAGTTAGTAAATCAGAATTTTTTATACAAATATCCTCAATATATAAAATTCTAATATATTATATATTGGTATTTTATACGATTTAGTAACTGTATCGTATTGTTGGCTTGATGTAAACCGTATATTGCCCAGGGCGAGGAATTTTTAATATCGTCAGATATTCTCAATACAAGCCGCTCTGTGTCAACTTTCTTTTGGATGGTTCAGAAAATAATAATATGAAAGATATATTAGGGTCTTAGTTACTTATTTATTTATTTTATTTTTTATCGACTTTAAAAAACGGTTTCCTTTTCAATTGTATTTTTTTTGTGTGTATGTACAAAATAATTGTAATTCATTTCACATTTATTTTTTATTGAAAGGATTTCTTTCTATAGAAGTTTAAAAGTATTCAAAATAGTATTTTTTTTTATTTTCTTTTTTAATTCGCCGTCGAGTATCTCTGCACTTCCTACTGGTTGACTGGTAGAGAATGCTAATAGCACTAAGTCTTTTGTGTGACTAATAAAGTCAATAAATTTTAAATATTTTTATATTATAAATAGTAATACATTTTGTTTCAAACCAATTTTATCTCTGTTCTTAAAAATTCACTTTATATCACACAGTACAGATGTAATAGATAAATATATATAAAATAATTATAAATGTATAACTTTATAAATATAGATTACATATGTATATATGTATGTAGATTACAGTCTAAAAATAACGTAGTTAAATTTTTGTTAATAAGAAAGAGAAATTTCGGTTTTATTTTTTATCTACAAAAGTTCTATTTTATAAAAAAAAACTTAGCGCAGTATTAAGATATTCTATGCTTAGGCTTCAAACTCTAATCCAATTATCAAACACTTCTATTTAATAGGACAGTCTATTTAGACAGGTAAATTCGTTAGAGATTAAAATTTAAGTTTCTAGTCAACATTTAAGAACAATAAATTTAAGTTAAATTTGTTTTGACATTATTAATATCTTCGATCAAAATGCCATAAACAGTCTAACCAGTAACGCGTCATTTACAGAATCGAGTCTCATTTTGATTTAGTTTACTTGAAATAGCGGTATCAGCGACAATTCTATCAGAATTATTTCTGTAATCTGACATAAGTAAATGTGGTGCCATAATAGAAATTATTACATAAACAATTACTCTAATAATATTATTTTCTTAACCATTCATTATTTTGTGATTCTGGAATAGTAAGGTGGATTTCGCAGCTCATTCTTATCTCCTAAAATCATTACTAACTACAATGTATTAAAAGTAAATTAATTATATGTATTGTACATATATATAAATTAAGTAAATAAATTACATGTGAAATAGATTTGAATCAAAATTATGGTCGTTTTCTACGTAAATGTTTAAGAAAGTCACATCCCTATAAATATTGTAATACTCTCCAATCACGTTATATTCTATCAAATTCCCTAACTTAAGACGAACAGACAAAATGGTCGGCTCAGTTTAAGGTCTACCGCGAGACACTGTACAACTAGTTGCTGTTTTTATGCCTACCTTGATCAGCAACGTACCTACTGTGTGGAGAACTTCTAAACCCCTGAACATTTTTTTTTTATACAACTTAAAATGGCAAACAAGCTAACGGGCCACCTGATGGAAAGTGGTAACCGTCGCCTATAGACATGAGTAGTACCATGGACATGACAGAGTATACTGTTTCGCCCATGATACCCCCCATGCGTTGCCATTCCTGAGGACTCAGGTGTTATTCCTCTGTACCCAGTAAATTCACGCCATATCCCACCCTTCAAACCGAAACACAGCCATGCAAACACAACTACTTCACGGTTGAAACACGAATGGGACAGAGGTACCCAAGCAATCGACTTTTGTACAAAGTCTCCCTCTGGTAAACATTCCCTATTGATCGCCTCTAAGTATCGCGAGTGATTACATACCTTATACAAAGTGTGGTTTTTATGACTGGACCAAAATAGAACGACGCCATTGTGATATTCACGTGGCGTGGCTTCCTGAAACCGGGTGCATCCTGAGCATTTACTACCTACGCTAAATCTGCAGTCAAGGTGAGTCTGTAACATTTTATGACCTACAAACTTCTTTAATGAGACCTAGAACCCGGGCTTTTCGATACTTTCACAAAAATATCTATTTAAAATTTCAATTTCAAGGACAAGTATAAGGACGCTTTGGAATCAATCCTAATACTAAATTGATAATTTACATATGTAGTTAATTGATAAAGCAGTGTCTGATTATAAACATTAACTCAAAGAATAAATTATTTATGACTCAAGGTGGCTGAAAATTCATCGATATAAAGATGAAACTAGAAATATTTATTATTCACCTTCATTATATCATCCATTAAATGTCTATTTCTTAACATAGACCTACATTGGGGGGTTTTGCACTGGCAAAAACTTACGTTTGACAGGCGATTTAGCAACCGCAGTTAGCCTTTGGTAATGATTTAAGATAAACGCTGCTGCTCATTCCTCGACTACTAAATTTCTTTAGTCACCTCAGGATATCCACGGGAAAAGAAGGGGTGGTCATTCTATGCTGAGACTACACGTTTATCATTATTACCATCAAATCGTAATTCCATAATATATTAAATGATCAACCACTAAAGAACTACTAACCTGATCTTGCGGTTCGATTGCAAACTTTTGCTCCTTAAATCCACTAACACAATTCACCATCAGACACAGCACAACACACTTCTGCACTAAAACATTGATGTCCAATACCATCCTTAATAAAAGGAACAGCGTGTTAGCATTCCTACTAGTAATTCTTGTTCTATGTTTTAAATTCCTTCTATTATTCTTTAAATCACCAAATATTTTATTTGGCCCCATTATTTGTTTCTTTTTTATGCCTTTCGCATTTGTTATCTCATTTTCTTTATTTTTGTTATCTGTAATTTCATTTGATATATTATACACATCTTCTCGTTCAGTTGTATTCGTATTTGCATGATCTTCCATATTGTATTGTTAAATGAACTCATTGAAGCCATATGTCGATGGCATTAAACAATATTTTTTACAAACTATTTCTCCAATCCGTGGCACATGTTTTCAGATCTGAAACAAAATAAAAACGATAAGTGTTGGTATTCATTGCTAAAAATAAGTATTATTTTTCAGTTTGAGATATACACATAAATGGATTTAATGATAATTTAAATGGATTTTACAAATTTTCGTAATTTTTTTTTGGGCTTTAAGTTAACCTAAATATCGATAAAGCCTAATGAACTCTCCATTTCAAGTAGAACGTTCCTACGTTAAATTTTGTTGAAAAAAAAAAAGGACTGACAAAAATAGTAGAGATATAGTTTATACTATTTTGGCATTAAAGCTCAAAATTCGGTACAATTTTTGTAGATTTTTTTTGTAATGTGATACGCTTTCTTTGGGTAAGTGAAAATTCCCTTCGCAATCTACAGTACAGGGTACTTTAAAAAGAGTATAGTATGGTTTCTTCAGAGTCGGCAACGCGTATGTAACTATTTACCATCAGACGGCCTGTACGATTGTTTGCCACTTTCGTAGTATAGAAAAAATCCATAAATTTCAAAATTTCTCTCCTAAACGATTCATTGGTGTTTTTATACCTAATTTTATAATATCTTTAAATGTAATTGTCATATACTTTTATTTATTATAATAAAAAAATAAATCAGACTACTAATGCCACATATATGAGAGAACTTTACACATACACACAAACTGATAACATTTTTAAAAATCTTTAATTCAAAAGATTCTAGATATCGCATCCAATGATTTACAGAAAAATAAAGTACATAAAAATATTCTGCAATAAACTAACTTTATATAAATACGAATGTCATACGACTTGTAAAAGTCCATAAAGGCTGCAAAACGCAAGCTTTGAAAACCCGTTGGCAGTGCTAACGTAAACACCGCTAAAGCAGAATGTATTATTAACGCGAATATAAATCAGTTGGAAGTATTGCAAAAGACGGCAACTCATACTGCACCATTTTACAGTTGCAGGAAGGAAACAGAACACATATCACAAAGCTCTTAACGATCGTATCTTGGCTCTATAAGGATCTTCGTGAGGTTTTATTTTTATTTTAAACCAGCTGTGCTTTGAAGCTTTATACAAAAGTCACCTGCTTGGACAACTCTATTCCACTCGTGTTTCTATTGAAAAGCAGTTCTGCTTGCATATCTATCATCTTCATCATACCAGCCGTTACTGTCTACTGCACAATATAGGCCCCTCCCTATTGGGGAGTTTTGCCAGTTGTTGTCATGTTTAGTAGGTGCGTTGGCAACCGTATTGTATAACACGTAGATTTTAAAGAAGGACGTTGCATAGCTGTGTTTTCGTTTAAATAGGTCATGGCAGTAAAATTACAAGATACTGAAGTATAATAACCCGAAGGCAAGCAAGCTAAAGTGGCAATGGACTGTATCACATAGCTCTAAGAAACGACAACCGATAGGAAAGAAAGGTTCTTGAGTGGCGGCTTTTTACAAGCAACACTGCGTTTGTTTTCCACTAAATGGAACGACTACCTTGAATGCGTTGCAAATAATCAATTGATGCAGCTGGCTCAAGGCCGTTCTTTATGGCAATCTATGAGGGTAGCCTATCTTTAGCAATGGACAGTTAACGGATGATCATTGTCATCATCGATGATGATGGTGAGGCATAATACAATAGTCCTCAGGAATAACAATGCAAAGGGTATTTTTACAATATAATATGTGTATTTTGTGACATCCATGGTGCTGACCATATGTAAAGGCGACGTTCCCATTTTCCACCATTACCTTGTTTGCTATTCTATATTACTTAAAAATAAATGAATTACTATTCCATTTTCTTTCTATTAACAACGTAATACTATAGGCAACTGGAAACTCATTGTATGAATATATGTTAGATGAACTAAACAAAAATATCTAGCTGTCTCTTATTTCTAACTTCAAGACACTTTAGATGTGAAAAAGACAGAAAAGTGTCGCATATCCAATCTGGAGCTTACAGTTGTAGTTCTCGAAATAGAATCTTTAAATCTATTTTGTAACATTCTAAAAAGAGTCACAAAGAAACGAGATACGTTATCACTACTTGGAGGATTTAGGATAAATGAAATGAGGTTTCTTTAGTAAGATTTGGAGTATGTTGTCTTATATTATGTCTTGAAAACTGAGTAAATTAAAATGAGTAACTAATAAGTTACTAAAAAATAATACTTCCTAATATTATAAATGTGAAAGCGAGTTTGTTTTTTGTTTTTCTGTTACGTTAACATAACTAATCATTATGAAATTTGGTATACACGTAATATATAGAATGAAGAAGATTATCCTTTTTATCCTGTTTACTGCACATATTACGATTACACGGATGAAGTTGTGGGGCAAAGGTAGTTTATAATATTAGCAAATTTTATAGCCTTTACTGTGTTATCTATCAATATATTTAACGAAATAATTTAAACATTGATTATATAGATTATTTATCACGCTAAATTGTATGAAAAAGTTGACTCGTTTTTCTCTAAGTATTTGTATAGAGACACTCTATCTATATAATCAATGTTTAACTCATAACCGATTGATTCCTTTATAACTTCTTTATTTATTTTATCTTATAAATTTTGCTCTTTTTTAATGCATAAAACTCAATGTATTTATTAAATAATTAAATATACCATAGATACATCAAGTTGCAATGTACGTGTATGTATATAGAACATTAATAAAAAAAACAAGTTGGCTAATTGTCTAAACGTTGACCCGTTTTTGAAGCTCGATGCTCTATCTATATAATCTAAGAATTAAAATATATATGTAATTGAAAATTTCCGTTCAAACATTCTACTATTGGGCTTTGTAACCGAACAGTTTATTATTCATATAGCTTAAATTCTTGGGTTATATTAATCTGGTCGAATATTGAATTTCATATAATACGTTTCATTTTGTGAAGTTATATTATCACAGTTGTGATCAAATATTTGATTCCAATAGTTAACGGAGTTTCAACCAATGTGCTTAAATATTAAACTATTTAATTATCTAATCCATCCAGTAGTTATATCTATTTCCCTTAGATTATATGGTTGGAGTATCCAATGTCAAAAACGGGCCAAAATTTAGTCTGATAAACTACATTTTTACTGACTGAAGTTTGACACATATTCTATAAACCAAAAGAGTACGCGTAATTTTTTCAATGTTGCAAATAATTTCATTAAAAATTTTCTAAGTCAGACCGATTTTATTTAATGTTATATAAATATATATATTTTTTATAAATTAATACACTTATATTAATTAAAATGGTAGTCCAATGATTTTGGCAACAAAAAATCTATTCTAAATCATATATACCTAAATCAAAAGCCTCAGTAAAGATAAGCTTCATTATGAATTACTGTTTAGTTGACTAGAATTATTTTGTTTAATTCCGCTTCCATTAGTATGCGTATAGCTAACCCTATTACTTTTACTACTACTACCAATATTTATGATAGCGGAATTAAACAAAATAATTCTAATCAACTAACCAGTGATATCGACTTCCCTAAGATAACATCTAGTTAAATAAAATCATTGTTAATCATTATGTTTTGTTTAAAATATATTCGTAAATATTTTGTATCGTTTTTTGGTTTTTCAACTTAACCATACGACATAAATTTCACCCAGAAACTTAATAACTATATAATCCTGACTTACACACACATAGATAAAAAGGTCTGGCCTGTTTTTGGCGAAGCGTTTGTATAGAGATACTATACATACATTTATATATAATCTAAGCTATTTTCTTATAAGAGAAAATAATAAGCTTTAATAAGTTTTATATTTTAAGAGATTTTCTGCGAATCCATTATCTACTACATGAAAAAAAAAATTTCCGTGACCGGCATCAAAAGTAGCCTGTATCTAAGTCTTTCTGGATCCCAAATGTTGAATAAATGAATGAGTATAATATTATTTATATTATACAACATAAAGAATAAAAGAACATAAGTAATAATAAATATTTCATTAAGAATACGATGTAATTCATCTATATACATATGTAATGGTAAATGAATAAATTCACTGTCTTTTAATTAAAAATGAATTTAAAATTAACAAAAAAAATTGATAAAATGATATGTTAATAAAAAAGGAACCATATTAATTAACATTTTTAATATATCCTGCCAGGTAGAAGGAACAGAGATTGTTAGTAATGAGATATAACAGAAACCATTGTGATTAATTTTTGAAGAATTCATCACGATGGGTCAATTGACTTGCTTTATTCTCACCTATCATCCTTCACTGGTACCCCGCCAGCATATTATAGCGATACCACATTAGGGGTTACCATTAAGGAATAACGCTGCCAGATAGACTTCCACGCTACCCTCACTGGTTTATTTCTAGTGAATTTGCTATTATGAACCAACTGACCTGGCTTCATTCTCGCCTATCATTATTTGGATTATCAAAGAAATTTGCTAACAGTTTTGAGAAACGAGAAAATTAATTTGTAGAATCTTATCCGCCTATGTTTGAACCAGTTTTGAATAGTACATTTTCAAAATATGATCAACTAAAATATTTTACAACTTTTCTCTTCGAATATTCATTAATTTGATCAAACCATTTCTAAAAAATAACTAATAATAACTAGTAATTTTGAGATAGAAATGCCTAATAAAATTAGTTCTTACATATTCTCATCAAAATCATAAAATCATGTTTCTTAGAATTAATTTTAAAACTTCTAATGATATACTTGTTTACTATCTTTGTGGTATAAAAAAATGTAGATGCCTTTTTAGCCTGATGGCCCACCTGATGTAATGTGGTAACCGTCGCATATAGACATGAGCAGTAGCTTAGACATAAGAATATACTGTTTTGCACGTGATACCTCCCATGCGTTGCCATTTCTGACGACTCAGGTGTTATTTCTCTGTACCCTATAAATTCACTGCCATATGCCACTCTTCAAACCGAAATATAGACTTGTAAACACAACTGCTTCACGGTAGAAATACGAATGGGACAGAGGTCCGCAAGCTAACGACTTT